GGCAAACGTACCAAAATTATCAATTGCAGTATAGTATTTCGATAAAATAAAAGTCGATCTCACGAGGAACAGTTTCAATGGAAATTCCCAATTTTATGCTTACTAAGTAGATTAAAACAAAATGAGTTTTGCATAAAGAGTTGAATTGAAATTAAATGACAAAGAACTGTAAATTGTTGAGAAAATATCAATTAAAGGTACTTAGGATTGACTTCCTTCCTTATCCCTCTTTTGTAATGGTTATGTCAATTAAGAACGTCAATTAACCTAACAATGTTGATGCCACCTACTCAAATCATCCATGTTGATTCCTCACACAAGAAATTCATAAGAAAACCTAATAAATATTGATTCCTCACACAATTAAGAGATTTTCCAGCATTAGGTTTAGGGTGTTTAAGCAATTGATACATTCATTCCATTCCTGGCAATTAACGTAACAAATATTCTTACCGTGATCTAGGGTTCAAGATATATTTTCTAATCATACCTCAAACAATCAAGAATAAATCATTCCAAAGCATAAAGGATAAGAATAACAACATCAAAGCATAGATTAATATCTCAAAATATCACCATGATACAAAAGAGTTCAAAGGAAGTGCGTCGAATCCTAAGAGAATGAAGTTAGCCACTCATGTTGACCATTACAATGCTCTAATTGATGAAGAAGTGAATAATTGATGAAGATTAGACAAAACCTTAACAGTAGTCGTGTCTCCTCTCCTCCAAGACGGCTTGTTTTTCTCAAAACACAACTTATCTTTTTATAAGAGAATTTGGGTCGGGCTTCGCATCATTCATTTGCTTAAGCGCTCTTCTTTCTTTCAATTTTACTCTAATTATGCTGACAATTATGTTTCTTACTCTTATATTAAGGTATTCTTGAATTCATCCTATATTGGGAGAAAAATAAATTAGAATTAATATAAGTTAAGTGGTTTCATAACAATTCAAGGTATAATTATATCAACTTTTTACCACTTTAACAAATAACATTATAATATATAGATTATTATAAATTTTTACTAGCTAAAATAATATTGGGACATAAATAATATTATATTATATAAATAAGTATAATTCTCAACCTAGAGTTGACTTTAATTATCTCTTCATTTCATATTCTCATTTTATAAAATTTAAAGAATATAATTATCTATCTTGAAAAAATGAGTAGGTAAATTTGTTGGAAGCAACCCTAGAGAAATATTCCTTGGGTGGTGGTGAGTGCATGTATAATCTTTTGTATGTTGTCGGGTCTGTCCCTCATGGCCTTATCAACCTATCTGTCTGGCCTGAGAATAAAAAAAGACTCATCGTCAAAAGCAAGGACCATGGATTTGAGAAAGAACAAAATATGAAAAACTGGAGAGAAAACGAACCATGCATTGATTTGAGCACCTCGTGATATGAACCGACACATTCCATGTCTCGACATTCGGAAATTGAAGTCCAAAAACAATACTACAACCTTGGGATAAGGTTGGGTTTGTTTATGTTTGTTGGGGTTAAAAATAAAAACAAAACAAAAGTTTCAATTGAAATGGACGTTGGCCCCAATATGGTGCATAACATAATCAACATAACAATTTTTATTGGGGTAATAACTTTAAAGTTTTAATCATGTAGTTGATTAATTATATGGTGACATGAGTGTACCTTTTTCGTGTGGCCATAATGCACCAATCCTATCATTAATTAGGTCTTGTTCACCAGAGCAAACGTGGAACAATGATAATATGGGCCATTTAAATTAGATGTTTAAATTACTTCTTTATCTTTAACAAATTGATGTTTAAATTAGAGGTAATGATAATATGGGCCATTTAAAATCTTAACATATCTTATCTTTTCGTAATTTGCTATCCAAATTAAAATCAAACTAAATTTATGATCAATTTTATTTTCAAGCAACGCGATATCTTTTATATATATATTTTGGGAAACATAATCTTAATTTATTTTAGTTTTGGGAAGTGGTAGGTTGTATGATTCTTTATACATATATCAATGATATGATGACATTTTTTTTTTATTAGAGAATTGGCACCAATAGATTTTACAATTGTGTTTTGTTCAAAGAAAAATAGTTGTTTATAATTTATAGTTTCAAATGACCATTGTTTTGTTTTTATGTAAATGGTGATGCTTAAATAATGGATGAAGCTGATAATTATTTTGTAAATTAAAGATTATAAAAAAATGAGTTGTTAACATTAATCTGTTTTTTTGTTTTGTCTTTTTTAAAATGTGAACGTTACTTCTTCCTTTAAAAATATATAACTTTTTTAGATAAAAAAATATTTTTAAATATATAACTAGGTAAAGTTTAAGATTATATTAATTTAAGTAATCTCTTATCAATTAATAGCTATATCTTTTAATTATATTTATTACAAAGATATGCGTATTTTAATTAAAAAATATTAAATTGATAAAAATATTAATAAAAAATAACTAATAAATTTTATAAAACTAATAAAATTAATACTTATCTTTTATCTATCTAACCAAACCTTAAACATAGTATATTTTATTGATTCCAACACTCTAATTCATCGTCTTAGTTTTTACTTAAACGACAATGTTTACTTTTCTTTGAGTTTTCTCAATTTTTGAAATACATATGATTTAAGGTCAGGTTATATAAATTAAAATAAAATTTAAAATTTATTATTTTTAATAAAGTAATTAATTTTATAATAATTTTTGTATTCTTTTAAGTTTTTTGTTATTTAAAATCATTCGTAAAAATTATTTGTTTACTATATAATAAATATAATTAACTAATAAAAAATAATATAACTTTAACTTTACAAAGAAATAAATATTTGGAAATAATTCTTTTAAATTGATAATTATTTATAAATAGAGTAACTATTATTTATATAATAGAATTTTATGACACCTTTTATTATGTTTCCTCTGTATATGATTATCATATTACTTCTTTATCTCATAATTCCAATAATAATAATAATAATAATAATAATAATAATAATAATAATAATAATAATTAAAAACACGAAAGGGTCATTTGGTAAACAAAAATATGTATTTTCTGATATACCACAATATTTTTCTTTATCTGATTTGATGTATCTTCCATTTACGTTAGTTTTAATTTATTTTTTATAGTTATATTATCAATATGAAATATTCATCAACTTTTGCAGTAATTAATATTCATGAAAAATCTCATTGGTCACCTTTATACTTTAGTTATACTGAAATAAAATAAATAAGTTACAATTTGATAAAATTAAAACTATGAAAAGAGGGTATTAGTAAAACAGGGAGTATAAATAGTAATTTATAAATGTAACTAGAAAGATTGGGCTATGGCGTTAGAAATTTCTGGGTCAATGACCATTTACCATTGGTGGTACAGCCCAATGTATATTTGAACTTATATGACTTAATCTTTTGAATTAATTAAGATAAATCGATGAAATAATTTTATGTTTTTTATTTTTTATTTAAAATATTTAAGATATACTACCTCCGGTTCTAAATATGTATTTAAGGTTGAACTACATAATACAAATCAAGATAAATTTTTAAAAATTCAACAAAAATATAATTATTTAAAAGTATATTTGAGTAAGTATTTACTAGTAATAATGATTATTTTGAAGGAAAAATAAAATAAAAAAAATATGAAAAGACCAATTCAGTGAGATTCCACAATCCAAAATGCAGATTCTTTGAGACTCAACTCTTTGGGAAACAAGGTTATCTCCAACATAACATAGAGTATACCCTCGTGATTTGCCATGGAAAAGTTCCCAAAAAACACACTTTTTTTTCCAAATAGGATTTTTTTTAAATTAGTTTATTTCTTGTTTCAAATGTTCAAATACATTAATTACGTTTATCAATTATATACTTACTTCATTTGATACTTAATTAAGTGACTGATATGAATTCATTGTAATAAAGAGTAAATTAGAGTATCATATAATTATTTTATTTGGATAAAAAAATCATTTCTCATCAAGATATTGAGATTGTCTAAATTGGAATTAATAATTTGAAAATACGCCAAGTATAATACTATCGCATTTATTATATAAAAAAGGTATGTTGTATTTTTTTTTAAATTGTTTTTATTCTTATATTTTTAGTTGATGAATTCGGTATATGTGATTTTAATATTTTTCATATTTAAATTTAATATTTAGTGACAATTTTTTATCGTTAGAAAATTGATAAAATAATTCAATTTACAATTTTGTAAAGTTGGGATCTTTAAAGTTTGGAGACTATATTGAATTGAATTTGTTATTGAGTCTAAATATGTAAGATAAAGAACAGTAGAAATTGTTTATATACTATTTTTATCAATATTGTTTAAATACTTTACTTGGAAATTTATATTCTTGAAAGTTAAAGTTAAAAGAAAAACCACTCCAATTGTCAAATAATTAAATAAGTTACAGGCACAGTATTGTCGCATATAATCAGGTGGAGTTACACTCTTCAGATAAGTCAGAAAATCATTTAGGCTTGTTCAATAAGGGTCTTTGTGGAAATAATCTACAGACATTGAACAAACATGGATTAGATTCTGTTCTAAAACAGCATTGTGAAAGACTCTGAAAGTAAAAAAAAGTAGTGAAAAGAAGGATTCCATCCCCGTTATGGTTTTCGTTGAAGGTTGCAAGTTGCAACTGTTGCAGAAAGTGGTGCTAATATATTGCAATTTAGCTGGATTACTTTAGGCATAAGGGCACATTTGAGGTCACAGAATCGTATTTCTTGAGTAGTTTCTCTTCTTCCTACTACCTATAGTATTGAAATCAACCAACCAATCCTGTGAGCATAAGTATTATTTGAATTGTAACTTCTTAATTCCTATCTGTTAACCAGGGACATAGTTTTGAGTGAAATAAAATAACTAACCGGCAAAGCAGAAGAAGATACTTCTCATGAACTAATTGATTTACTATGACTGTTTACACTGGAGATACAAAATGTTGGGTTAAAGCTAATAATTAATCTACTCTTGTATTCTGACCATCTTCATTCCTGTAAAGTATCAATTATATTATGAAAAAAAGAACCAAGATTTGGTCACAGTCAACCCTTCTGTTAGTGCATGTAAACCAACTCTCCATCTTTGCATTCCCTGATTGCAATTTCCATTTTGTCCTGGGCAGTCGAGGGCAACACATCACAACAGTGCCTTCTTGGAGCAAGCAACTGAATACAAAAGAAATGTTTGTGAGGACTATTACCAATGTCAAGTCATGCTCCTAAAAGAACTATCCCTGAAGGAATACTAGTATGTATCATTATAGTTACCTGTTTGATGTCAAGGTCTAACTTTTTTGTGACCACTTTGATCACTTCCAGTTTCTGCGGTGACACGGCATCGTTTGAGCAATTCTGAAAAGATTTCTTGTAACTGCTAATGGTGTCATCCTTGTCAGATGACACACTGTCTAGAAAAAAAACAGTGGATCTTTTACAAGGGTCGTTGTGAAGTGCTCTTGTGTTGAAAGTGTATGTTTTTGCCAGCACGCTTCCCTTCCTCCACTGCTTGAATGTCTCTTGAACCTTCAGAACCTCTGGCAAAAGCATATGGTTTGGGAAAACCTGAACAGCATAGCCCCATGACACTGAAACTGTCCATTTAAACCATTTGTCATAGCAAATTGCTTGTTGCAGCATCCTCTGGGAATCAACATTTACGGCTTCAAATAAATGCTTCAGAGCTTGTGTAGTTGTCATGTTTGGAAAGATTGGATCAGTGTAATCAGGATGATGCAGGGACAGCAAAGGAGTTAAAGGATGTGCCGCCAATAAACCAAAGGTATTTCCCTTCAAATCTACCTGATTCAACTCACAATAACAAATTTAACACATGAATGAATCTTATTATATAAAATATTCTTTCGCCAAAAAACCTGAGTTTTATTGTAATGAAGTGTCAATGTAAAAAATCTTTACGGTGTCTGGAGAAATCAATCTTTTATATAATTTTTAGATAGCTCTTACCATACATCACAATGTACAATCTGATGATAACATAACAAAGCTTTGTACTTTTAGTATATTCTACTTAAAATTAAAAGATAGCCTTCACTATGCACTAATAAGGCTGACGGCAACAAATTCAAATCACCACAAATTTTCAGCATTCCAAAAGTTCAAATTTGTTACCTGGTGAAAACCGGATTCATGTGTTAATCCTACCCCAAGTTCTGCCAAGCAAGAGTACACCCTTCCATCACTTCCATAGAGATGGGGGTACCTTTCTATACATGAATCAAAATTCTCGGCCAAGACCTTCGCCAGAGAGGAGCTGATAGCAAAACCTGCCCCACCAAAAGCCATTCCAAAACCAAACACCCGGTTCTGCTCATAAACCTCGGAGTGTGCACCAATGTAGTACCAAAGCTTGTGATCATATTTGGATAGAGTCTTCACCACATTCTCTGGGAAGAAAACCGTGTCATCATCTCCAAAAACATACCACCTTACGTCTGAATCATTGTTCATTGCCGCGGTCTCGGCAACAACACGTGCCACGCGTATTGCTGAGCGAAGTCCACCCTTGTGAGTGAAACGAAACCTTGAAGTGTCTTGAGAGACACGAAGAGGAGGAAGAGAAGTATCATTCTCGTGGCTAACATGTTTTTCATCTGGGAGGCTATCCACGAACACACACCCCTTCATTGCTTTGTTGTTGGTGGTGTTGCTGTAGTTCCACCAGAGCTTCACGTACTCCTTCCTCTTGCCCCATGAACGCTTACTTGAAGCAATTCCAAACACAAGGTGATCAAGGGTGGTTGGTGTGGACTCATCTTGTGATGTCTTGCTCACATGCACTAGCTTTGATGACCCCAGTAATAACACCGAAACGATAAGATAAAGGGCACAGAATGAAGAAGAGACTAAGATGAAATTAACCAGAGACTGACCCTTGGTGGGTTTCTGAAAAAGCTTCATGTTAACAATGGATCTAGTTCTGTTCTGAAGATGAAGAGGGTTGGATTATTCTCGGTTTAATACTTGGACAGGTTCATGAGCTGAGTGTGAGGACGGTTTTGAGACGTGTTTTGAGGTATGTAAGCTGGGGAAATTTCACCGTGATCCACGGCGTAAGCTGATTTTTTTGACGTTTTTAAGTCAGTTAATGTTCAATGTGTAAACTCGGGTAGGTACGTTAGAGAAAACTCAGTGTCCCTTCCAATTAGATTTGCACGCTTGGCTGGTGTTGATGGTTTATAGGGTTCAAGTGGTTGAATTAATTTGCATTGACTATGCAGAAGATAATGGAAAAAGGTGTTGGCGGGTCTCAAGAGTTAGGCCACCTAAGGTCTTATTCTTCCACGTCAAGTTCTTTGTCAAGCCAACGCCTTTATCCGTCACATGAAAATCAATTAGAGGGCATGAAACAACGCTATGGTTCACGTTAGTTGTACAATTTTGGCATGAAAGCACGATTCTAGCATTGTTTTGAGCTTTTATTACGCGTATGTTTGGGCTTTCTACCTGATTGTGCGTTTTCACTTTTGCTTTTCCGTTTTGCTCCTTCAGAATGAAGTGTATATTAAAAAGTTATAACTCACAATATCTCTTTCTTACGTGTCATCTCCCTAGCCCTACCCATATTGACTAGTTCATTTCTGTCCTGCATCTGTGTTCGTTTTAGGGCATTCAAGTAGGATAATGATAAAATTACTATTAATAGTAGATTATATGTCCAATTATACTCTGTTTAATACCTCTGGAATAAAAATAAAATAAAAATAAAAAAAAAACCTTGTTGCAAGCATTTGACATTTCTATTTATACAAAACGGAGAAAAAGGTTGGGTTGTAAGTTGTTGCGAGATGCCGCGAATGGGGGACGGCGTGGAACTTTGGAAGCTGTAACAAGTCCCACATTGGGGAATAAAATATAACTTTATAATTGAGATATACGCACAAATGTAAATATCGCATTCATATATTGTATGCATAAAATATATAATCATTCAAGTCAAATATTTCTAAACATACTTCTAACAGACTGTAATGTTTATACCAAATGAAGCCGGCAAATAATTTGGAAGAGTTTAATTTACAAGATTTTCAGCAAAGCTAGTTGGCAAATAGCATGAATTGAGACGTGGTTTCTAGTGGTGATCACGTTCCAAGTAAAATCAACCCCTTGACTGACGTTACCTTACTCCAAATACGACGAGAGACTACCGGGCAATTTTGCGAATCAGAAGTAGATAAAAACATGCAATCTTCAGTGCTACTGCTGGAAATAAACCATTTGCAAAATTCAACTGCACGTGAAAAACCTGCCTGAGGGGTTTGATCACCAGTGAGATCTTCTTGAGCTTTGGTAAAATTTCTACAACAATGCGGATAAGGATCCTTCTCTACTGCAAAAGAGGATGGGGGAAATAGAAATCAGGCAATGCAGGCCATAATTATAGTGTTTTCAGAAATGTGAAGTATGTAGCTGTCCTTTGGAAAGTATGTGACTTACTAACAGCTGCCTTCTGGAGGAATTGGGGACTGGGGGGGACTTTTTACCTTCTCTTCAACTTTGCAAAATAGAAATACTAATTTCCGCATGAAATTATCCCTCTCAAAACAATGTATAGGATCAACCAACAAGAAGCAGCATCCGCCTTATAGCACCAACAACTCGGACATTCATGCTCGGGAAATTTTCAAAGCTTTGAAAGGAGGCCACTCCCAAAAAGAATGCTATGATGGCATGGAGATCAGTTCATCAATTTCACACGGTCTAATATGAAGATTGGTTGTATCATTAGAAGATGGTGGTAACACGTTGCAGCACTGACGACGGGGGGCATTCATCTGTGATAAGACCCAATAAGGCAACACAAAGTTTAATAACTAGAATAAGAATACAGACAGAACAAGCAAAGGAAAAGTAATCACAAATTTGAAATCAACAATTTCTAAGATTGATTTAACGAAACCTGTTCATTATTAAGCTCTAGCTTCCTTGAAAAAACTATGATCTGCTCGATCTGTGTGATATTGGATTCAAAGCAGCTCCCAACAACATGTCTAATGTAATTGCTCCAAATGCCCCTTTTATCAGATGTAACACTTTTTACGAAAAATACAGAAGGCCTTTTACAAGGATCTCTATGATAGTCTCTGGTGTTAAACATGAAATTAGCATTGACTTTACTACCCCTCCTCCATGGAACAAAGGTTCTCTGCACTGCAAGGAGATCAGGAAGAAGTTTGTTTCCTTGATAAACCTGGATCGCGAAACCCCAAGAAATCGAGAAAGTCAAAGAATTTGATCGATCATAGCAGACAGATTGCTGAAGGATCCTGCCAGGATCTATATTTGCAGCAGCAACAAGATGTTCCAAAGCTTGTACTCTATCCATGTCAGGAAATAGGGGCTCCATTGCTTCCAAGTGATGAAGGGACAACAAAGGAGATAATGGATGTGCAGCTAGCATCCCAAACAAATTCCCCCGCATGTCTAACTGTGAAAAAAAAAATGACTAAATAATATTTCCAAAGAGGTTATCATTACATAAATTTTAGGCCTGAATCAGAAGATAAAAGCATAGAAGTCAAGAAGCCTATGCGCAGTCCAGCAAAAGTATCTAACTTATGACCAAGACAACACATACTCGTCCTATACCTATGATATTTGTTTGAAAAGCTACAGAATTTAACAAGATAGAATCTCAAACCAAATTATTAGATTTGCATACCCTGAGACCAAAGTACGCTTCGAAACTTAAGTTAATATTATGCACACTAACATTGAATGCAGCATGCAAAATAGAATGGGATGCACATTATTATTTTCACGTTCGTAATTGCTTTCTATCTACAAAAAAAAATTTAATTGTACAGTTGATAATGTTCTCCAATAAAAGCTGGCATTCTATGTAGACAGTTATTGCTAACTTTAAACACCAAGACCAAAACCTATTTTAATTAGAAAACCTGAACAGACAGCAATACCTATAGCCTATAGTTCATCTAAGTTTTGTCCTCCTAAACAAGTCTCCAACACCCACAAAGGAAGTTAGAAGAGAATAGTCCATGGAACATCTATGAGATCTTCATCACATTAACACTATGCCAGAAAACAAAAATCACAACCCTTAGATAACTGAACAACAAATTAAGGTTACACTCCCCAGTGTCCTTCTCCATTTTTTGGTTCCTCACACATCATCTTTCACAGACAATCATATTAGAGACACTGTCAGACACTAAAATATGGATAACTTTTAGTAAGGATTTGATTCTTGATTGAACATGTAACATCAGGTCTCCATGCAACGTCCGATCCTTATGCTTGTCCTAGTTAGGTGCTGAAGTTGTTACGAGCCCTTTGAGGACACTTATCTTGGTTTTTGGACGACTTTGCAACTCGCATTGGGATGATCAGCACTAAGTACTTGGTGATTAGACATTTTAGCTAGTGTGTGCACCAAGTTGTCTTCAACAGGGGTTGTGATATTTACGAGTAGCCTTACCAACTATCACACAAACCCAGATAATTGGGACTTTCTACACATCGAGAGTTTCTCGTCAAACAAGGCCCAAATACAAAAACATTGGCCTGCAAGGTTTAAGATCAACCGTTTTCAGTTTATAAATAGGTCTTGATATCCCATAAAAAATTAACTTACACTAAACACTCTGGCTTTATGTCTCGTCTTTACTCAGGACTTTTAGCTAGCTAGAACAGAACACATTGTAGGAGACTATGCGGAAACCAAACCAGTTTTCCACATTTTCCCTTTTATGGGTTACACGGCACTTCCTTCGGCGCGAATCATTTGGAAGACACTATCAGACATTCAGACATTATATGGGAGTCTCTCCCATTCGAGATCCTGAACCTTTGATTCGCACATGCACATTGGGAGAACAATTCAGTCAGAGATGAACACAAGACATAACAACAATTAGTCTAACTCTAATATCTAATCAATCAATATGCGAAGGTCACAGACATTGAGTTCATTATTTCCGTTACAAACATCCGAACAACCAACAAAAAGAGAAAAGAACACAGCCAATGAATCTAACACATGCAAATATATCAAAACCAAAAACAAACATAACAGAAAAACAGTACCCAAATATAAAGTAATAATAATAATGAATAATAATAATAATAATAATAATAATAATAATAATGATAATAATAATAATAATAATAATAATAATAATAATAATAATAATAATAATAATAATAATAATGACAATATAAAAGTACCTGATGAAAGCCAGGTTCATGAGTCAAGCCAACACCGAGTTCAGCGACGCAAGAATAAATCCTTGAATCGCTGCCATACAAGTGTCCGTACCTCCTCAAACACGAATCGAAAACCCTCGCCAAAACCCTAGCGAGGGAGGAGCTGATCGCAAAGCCGCCACCGCCGAACGCCATCTGGAAGGAGTACTGCACATTCTGGTCGTAGCTCTCGGAGTTGCTCCCGACGTAAAACCACCGGCGGTGGTCGTACCGCGCTAGCGCGCGTACCACGTTGTCGACGAAGAACACCGTGTCGTCATCGCCGAACACGAACCACCGCACATCGGTCTCGTTGCGATCCACGGCCTCCTTCACCACGCGCGCCACGCGGATCGCTGACCGCAGCCCCCCGCGAAACGTGTAGGGGAACGCGGAAGTATCAGCGGATATCACAACCGGCGGAGAAGAGGAGGAGGAGGAGTTAACAGACGGTGGCGGTGGTTTGTCGAGGAAGGCGAGGGCGCGGGTAGAGGCGGGGGAGTACCAGAGGCGGAGGTAGGGGAGGCGGCGGGGCCAGGAGAGGGAGGAGGAGGCTACGGAGAAGAGGAGGTGGCGGCGCGTGGTGGGGGAGAGGCGGGAGATAAGAGTAGATGAGGGAAGTGGCGTGGAGGATGGGGCCCACAGGAGAAAGAGGAGGTAGAGATTGAGGAGAATTGAGAGGATAACGACGAAGGATTTGAATGAAGGTGTTGTTGGAGTTGTTCTTACGTGAAGAAGAGGAGGCATTGCTGCATCTGAGCTGCTGCTGCTAAAACTCTGATCCTTTTTTCTTCTCTGAAACATAGCTTTCTTTATTTGACACTTGCTTTTTTTATTTTAATTAACGGTCGGTGGGAGCGGGGAAGAGGAGGGAGAAAATAAACCGCCAGTGACGGTTACTTTTTCAAACCTGTAACAGATGAAAGGAAGCAGTAGTGGTTGCTTCTCGTTCTTTATTCTTGCTTCTACTTTTACTTCACTACGATACTCTTCTTTTTAAAGTTCGGGATGTAGGAAATGGATTTCTTTCTCTTTTTAATGGGCTTGTTGGGCTAAATCCAAGCATCTCATATATGGGCTAACGCGAAACAGGGATATGGCTTGTTCTTCTAAGTTGATGTATATACAAATTAATTTTAATTTTTACAAATATTGATTTTATTTTTATTTTATAATATTTATACAAATTTTATCTAGACTTAGTTTTATAATCTATAAATATTCAAAAACAAATTTTTAATATGTAATATTTAGTCAAATTGTGTGGATGTTATATATATAGACCGTAAATCTTAAACTAGTTCAAATACAAATATTTATAATAATTCTATTCGTTGAATGCTTATTTATAATCTTCAACCTTTACATATTTTGTAAAAGTAAATAATGACTTGTCGAGAAAAAAATATTTTGGATCTTCATCTTAGGGGGAGTTTATGACTTGTCAAATAAAAAGAATAATTATTGCTAAGAGTGACATAGAAATCAGATTATAAGAAGTGACAAAAAGAATCTTATATTATTAATAGAATCTTTTATAAATTGTAACTCAATCTAACATAGTTTTTGGTATGTACTAATATAAAATTTAAATTTATACTTCTTTGCTATATATGTGCAATAACTTTTAAGGTGTTCCATGAAGTTTATGTGAAAAAGAAATGTTTATTATTATTTTAAGATACTTAACCACCATCTTCTAATGTCTGTATGTGGATTTCAATAAATCTTTATGAAAGTCCTCTTCGGATCTTCTCGTTATTCTCTCAACTAACCAACGTCAACAACTAGTGAGCCAATAAAGTTCAAAAGGATAGTCTTCTCTTCTATCTAATAAACTTCTCAAATATATCTTTGTGATTATATATTTATATATATATATATATATATATATATATATATATATATATATATATATATAGTCTTCTCTTCTATCTAATAAACTTCTCAATATATCTTTGTGATTATATATTTATATATATATATATATATATATATATATATATATATATATATATATATATATTACTTTTATTTTGCCAGGTGCTACTTGTTTAAACGGATAGAAAAACAAGTATTATATATGTTTGTTTAAACTGAGAGGATAAACGACTGCTTATTTAAGGAATATAGTAGGATAAAAGATCACTCACTTGAATAAAGAGATATGTTGATAAATACACATCACCCTTTCAATCTCCTCCACGTGAAGATAGAGTGTCCCTATGAAAAAGCTAAGGATGCATGCAGATATTCGCCCTTACACGACAGGGAATCTGATAGGAAAAATCAAGACAATAACATAAAATAACAAATTATGCAATAAAAATAATTTTCCTAAACTTACAAAAATCTGCGAGGAGCAACAATAACAGATAATGATAGAAATAATCTTAGCCGATAACACTAATATTTTTAGTATGGAAAAACCCCTCAATATGAGAAGTAAAGACTCAGGGGCCACAATGCAGTCAATCAAGCTCCACTAATATAAAAAGTATGAGTATAAAAGAGTCAAATCAAAATACACAAAATAAGTGTCTACAAAGTAGCCAATATAGCTCTCAAATTTGAAGAACAAATAAAAGAAACCTCAAAAACCAATCATAGTGCGAGACTGATATATCCAACCAAATACCTCTAATTCATGATCTCCACGGTCAAAATGAAGACCCTGTCAAAATTTCAGCCTGATCCAACGGTGAACGAAGTGGAAATAATAATTTTATGGAGGCTTAGTAAATAAGCGAAGCAAAATTGTTTCTTTTCTTTTTCTCTTCCAAAGGATACAAAATGCTCTCTCTGTTCTCTGACCTAGCAGACCCCTCTCCCCTTAGATTAAGTGAGATAAAATGAGTCTGACTAATTTGAACTTTTTAGACATATAGTTGGGAGTCCAACCCAACACATCTTCCCCTCACAACTTTGTGGAGGTGATCACCAATCCGACGATCTCATAACAAGTTTCAAACTTTTGTTTTAGCAATGTTTTAGTCATCATATCAACACCATTGTCATTTGTATGCACTTTTTGTAACTCCAACAACTTAGCATCACGTATCTAATGATACCTTACATCAATATGTTTGGATCTAGAATGAAAAGTTGGATTCTTACCAAAATGAACAACTCTCTGATTGTCCACAAATAATGGATAATTGTTCTTCACAAAATCAAACTCCTGCAAGAATTTTTTTCAACCATAGAAACCCCTTGCATGCTTCTATAATGGCAATGAACTCTGCCTCTGTAGTAAATAATGCTACAACATATTGTTGGTATAGTCAGTAGTTTCTTGTCCAATCTAGGTAGAGAGAATTGAAATATTATGAAATGGATTTTGGGCATCTTCATGGTATTGTGATTTGAAACTTTATTTTGGAGGTAATAAACTCATTTTGATGGGTTACTCAGACTCATATATGGCTAGAGATATTGATTCCAGAAAGTCTACTTTGGGCTATTTGATTAAGTTTGTAGGGGAAATGTGGCTTGGCAATCAAGATTGCAAAAGTGTGTAACATTATCTACTTCAAAGATAGAGTTCATCGCCATTACAAAAGCATACAAGGAGTTGGTATGATTGAAGAAATTTTTGCAGGAGATTGATTTTATGCATAATAATTATCCATTATTTGTGGACAATCATAGTGTTATTCATCTTGGTAAGAATTCAACTTTTCATTATAGATCCAAACATATCATTGGATACATGATGCATTCGATGCTAAGTTGTTGGAGTTAGATAAAGTGCATACAGATGACAATGATGTTTATATGATGACAAAGACATTGCTAAGGCAAAAATTTGAAACTTGTTGTGAGATCGTCGGATTGGTGATCACCTCCACATAGTTGAGTTGTGAGGGGGAGATGTGTTAGGTTGAGCTCTCAACTATGTGTCTAAAAAGTCCAAATTAGTCAAACCCATTTTATTTCATTTAACCAAGTGGAGAAGAGTATGCTAGGTTAGAGCAGGTAGTAAAGAGGTACATTTCGTAGCCCCTGGAAGAGGAAAAAGAAAAGAAACAAATTTTGACAGGAATTTCATGGTGTAAGGGTCTTTGCTTTGATCATTGGATCGTCAATTGGAGGTCTGTGTAGTTGAAGATATCAGTCTTACGCTAAAAATATTGGTGTTCTCTGCTATGATTATTTTTGTCATTTTTTGTTATTGTTCCTCACAAATTCTTACAAGTTTAGGGAAATTATTTCTATTGCATACTTTGCTATTTTAAGTTGTATTGTTTTTTCCTATAAGAGTGGTATCAAAGTCAAAGGTTCATTGGCAGTTTAAGAGTGATATTTGTATCGAAAATCTTCCTGCCAGTGAGTCAAATAAGCGTGTCCTGTCATGGTACATGAAAGGGATACTAGTGTGCTCGATGAGATATACCAATGTGAAGTGACTCACACTTGAAGGGGGAGATGGTTGGGCAATCCTAAATGTACATTAAGTCTCACATTGTATAAAGATGAGAAAGCTGAACAATATATAAGAAAATATGACCTATAACCCAATATTTTAAAAATTTTGGTTTAGAGTGGTATTAATCCCTATATCGATTGATTGTCCCATGTCTCATTAATATTATATTCTCAATCCCTCTCAAAAGACCAAAAGATTCTAACCAGGGACAATGAAGGACAAAATGAGAGGGAGATTATTGGAATCGATTCTCGGCCTAGTAGAATCGATTCTCTATGTCCCTGCATGGAACAAGAACAAGCTCCACCTCAACTTCTTACCTACTCTGTTCTCTTTTTTGCACACCACTAGTTTTGGGCTTTTCTGGCCCACGATTTCGATACTCTACAGTAGCAACAATGGGGAGCCACCACAGGATTAGCCTCACGACGCTGCCATACCTTTGAAACTCCTATCACTGTTAATTTTGTTTTGGGCTCTGTAGGGTCCCGTCGGAGGCTCTAATCTGGGCAGGGATTTTCAAACTCCCAAGGAAACTAATAAGGATGAACTAGGAAAGACAAGTAATCAAAGAACATCAATGAAGAAGAAGAAAATTCACAAGAAAAGAAGGAATTTCGATCCAATTTTATTATTCTCGAGAAAACAATGAGTTACAGAAAAGAATTTGTTTTATATATTTACAAAAAACAATTTTATTTACAATTTGCCTTAAAAATAAAAATGACCCTTCTGCTTGAATCAAAGGCCCAAACACAAACCTATGCAGGAGCTTGTAGTCTTCCTACGCAAGTTAACCCAAATATTTTCTTAGCTAAGTTTGGCTTGATGCAGGAATTTATGTTTGAAGTCCATTATGAAGCCCAAAATCCAAATGGGTTTGTTGTCAAAACACAAACTTATTTTAACACTAGAAACTCTTGCTTAGGATCCTCAGAATACTGTAAAACAGTAACCACAAATTGTACATGCCAGATAAAGTTTGTCATCAGAAGGGCGCAAATTGATTTGTCAACCTTCAAAAACTAGTTATACTGAGAGCTTCTGATAAGCCCTCAACTTTTGTTAGAAGCCAGATGTCTCCAAGCTATTTCCATCCCGCCCACAGAAAGATTCCACTCATTAACCCCAGAGATAAACTCTGTAGTAAATGAGATACAAGTTGAGCATATGACAAATGTGCTCCTACACATTACTTCTTCTCCAAGAAGTCTCACTTCACTTAATAGCGTGACAAAACACATTATTAAGTTATACACAGAGTTAAACCCTGAGATACTTACCCCAACAGAGCAAGATCCCTTTAAAGGACTTACTCTCAACAAAGATAAGTTTTACCAGTACCAGCGTTGGAAAACTTATGTAGAAAGATTTAACTGAATTTTTTGCAAAAAGGATATTTCAAATTTTATTCTTCTTAAAGAAATTGCTGACACCAAGCTTTATTGGAAACAGCTCATGGGAAATAAGTTTCATCCTTTCCCTATTGAAGTCAGTCCAGTTATGGTAAAACACTTTGAAAAAGAAAGAATTTTCAAAGAAATTTATGATGAGACCGAAATCCATGGACAAGGAACTCTTGGAGCATCATTTCCCTCTGACGGTGAGGAAATAAACTTCACAGATCAGATGATCGAAGAAGGACTTGAAAACATATCTTCTATATCAGTTTCCAGAAGATGTTCATAAAGCTTCATACGGCGGAATTGTACAAATCCCGCCTCACAATAACCAATGAGTCTTTTAGATAAAGATGATTTTGCCCTTGAAGATTACGAGGAATTTCTCATTACGTAAGCCCTTACGTCATACATCAATATCAAAAGACGACAAAGGTTAATGATATCTTGCTACCTTGTCATGGTTCCTCTACCGTTACACGATACTAGGCCCTTTAAGCCTTGTGTGTTAATGACGGAAAGATTGAACCAATATTTTGATATAATATAAAAAAATATAATATAATATTTTAACAAAGTTTGTACTCTAGCATCGGCGAATTATTATCCGCACGAGCTTTTTTTAAGACCCATAAGTCTTTAAGTGGGTCCCACATTTAAAGTTTAATATTTAATATTTTTGTTTTCTATATAAGGACTTGTAAGTTCATGATGTTTGACAGAGTCTCTTCCCGTAGTCTCCCTCTTCCAACTCTCTCCTCCTTCTCTCTACCCCCCTCTCTCTTACTCTCATATAAATTTATACCCATCAATAAGAGAAGCACTTTCAGTTCTCCCTCTCCTTCTCCTTCCCCCTTTCGAATAAGTTTTTTTTACTCCCCTTTTATGAAGTAGTTTTCTTATAAGGGCGTCATCGAATGCCTTAAGTAGTATTTATTAAAAGATGCGATAATCATTTAAAGACTTAAAAAATTTTCGTATAATTTTTATGTTTATATAAGTTTATGAGGAAATATCTAACCGGCTCTACCAGATTCAGTCATCTCATAATCTTATCATGAACTTGTGTTTTTATTTTCTCGTCTTTACTTTTCTCGCTTTTTTTAATTTATGTATAAGTTTATGAAGAGATGTCTAACCTGGTTCTACGAGATTCAATCATCTCATAATGTTATCTTGAACATTTTCTTGTTATAACCAACTTTATCTCATACAATCATCATTTAATTAAGCTAATTTAATTTCATATTCTTTGTAAACTAAGTAATCATGTTAATCTATAAAAAGGATAAAAAAAATTATAATATATTTTGATTTATTTCTTTTTCTATCCTCCCTTTCTTTTGCATAGGATTCATAGTAATTTCTTCCATATCGGATTTTCTATTCTTAAATTGATCCTTTTATTTAAACATGTATGTTAAGGGTTAATTATCGAAACGTGAATACGTATTAATGATAAAAGGGTTGTAGATTTAAATATCCTGAAACTTTTAAATAACCTTTGGGATGGTATGAAATGACTGATGATAATAATCATAAATATAAAAAATCTCGATAACATCAACTAGCCTATATTGTCAATAACTTAGGAAAGTAGGCTAGGTTTACCATGAGTGAGGTCCAATGTCGGAGACAACTTAAGAGATCATATTCAATAAAGTAGTTCATGCTCAACGTTACATATTGTATCCACGTGCCACTGACCCCCTGAACCTCAAAACAAAACATAGACTTGAATGAGTTAATCCCATGAATAATATATTAAAAAAATTATTTTAATATACTTTTTTTAAGTTTATTTATTTACCTAAATATATTTACTGTTTATACATATAATTTAATAATAAGGAATAAATTCATATGTATGATATATTTATTTTTTTATTTTTTAACTTTTTTCTCTTTTTTTATATTTTATTTTTTTCTTTATATTCGTTTAATGCTTATTTTTATTTTTTATATCTTTTAATTTTTTTCTCATTCCATTTCTTCTAATTAAAAATATTATATTAAAATTTGATAAAATAAATATTTTATTATTTCTAATAAATAAAAATATTTAATTAATTTAAAAATATTATAATTTAATATATTATATTTTAAAAAATTTATATAATAAATTGATATATTATAAATATATTATAATTATTAAAAAATATTTATTTTAAAGTAATTTTTTAGTAGTTTTTAAATTATCTAATATAATTAATTATCATAATTCAACCTAATTATAATTACATTAAATTACTAAATAAAAAATATATTTAAACTCATAAATGTTTTATATTTTTTAAACTAAATAGATAATTAATTTATTGTGATAAAATAAATTTAAATTAATTATTTATGTCATGGTAAATAAAGCTATTTATTGTTAATACATAAAATTACTTTTAATTTTAATTAGTTAATATTTATTTAGTTTCAATATTTATTTTTAAAAAATTACTTTAAGTTTTAATTAAAAGAATAAGTGGAAGAAAAAACAAAAAGTTAATAAAAAAAATTACGAGAAGAAAGAAGAAAAATTGAATATAAATCATAAACCGGTATTCTTAAATAAATAAATTAATAGAGATTTTATTTAATTATCTTTTAAAAAATGTTTTATTGGATTGATTCGGACATTCATCATCTAAATCTCCCAACCTCATATATCTTAAACCAAGACTTATTACACAAAAAATTGAAAATTTTTCTCATAAGTAATTGAGCGTAAGAACAAATAAATCAAAAGAATCATGGTTTGGGAAAAAATCATAAATATTTTGAAATAAATAGAAAAAAAGAGTCTACTTTCATTAAAATAGTTTATGAAATAATTGAAAACATAAAATCTAGATGACTCACATGAATTTATACATCATATAATATAATCTTTTATCAAATCTCAATTAAAACTTAAATTGACGCTGGATATTAATTTTATGTTTTTTCATGATTTTCGAATTTCTTCATAATTTTATTTACTTTTTATACTATTTATCTTATTTTTCTCTTCATTTGTATTTTTAGTGGTCAATATATTGAAATTCACAAAATTCAACAATGTTAATATTATTGAAAATCCCGAAGATATAGTTGAGAGTACACTTTTTTTCATTGTATAAGTCATGGTTCTCACCACCATTGACTCCCATAATGAAAAATATTTTTATGTCCAAACACAAACAACCCTTCTCTCTCTAATTAATAAACATTGATTACTTAATCTATTCTGAGTAGCCTTTCACACCTTATGGAGTTCTGTTTCATAAAATCAAAGTTTTCAAGTCTCTAGATTGGCACCTTTGGTTCCATCACACATAGGGAAGGCAACATGTCTGCGTATATGGTATGGCTAAACGTGAAACTTCAATTCAGCAAGAATTGTTAGTTGTTGAGTTTTGTCCACTGTTTCTGCATACTAATTTGTTAGCAGATTCAAGTGGGGTTTCTTTTCTTTCTTCAGAACTTGATTTTTCCTTGTGTCCTTTTTATTAGCCTTTTAAAGGTTGTCTGTTGTGCCACGTATCTTGCTGAATGGTAAGAGACTAAGACTTGCATCATTGTACTATATATATAGTCATCAAAATCACCTTACCATATTACCACTCCTCATTGCCATGAACCGTCTTCTTCGGATCCAGTCACTATCCACCACCTCATTTATTCCCGTAAACCTTTTAAGTGGATTAATACCTTGGTGAACAATGTGTGGACACAAGGACACATTTTGCCCTTGTAGCTTCGTGTACTAGTTTTTGGAACCAAACGTGCAAAACAAGAGAATCACAGAACTACACAAGTTTTCTACCAGTACGTGCGACATATATCAAATCGGTTAACGTGGCCATATACAGCTAAACAAATGGCCATTGTTGGGTCACACATTTAAAGTTACTAATTCTTGTTTAGCTTGGACTCAACGACATAAAGTAGGGTTCATGATGTTCTAACCAAATTTAAAACGTAATCATATTAGCTTCTATTTTCTTTTCAACTTTGTCACTACTATAAGTTCTTTCTCTCTCTCTCCTTTTTTTTTTCTCTTTAATTATTACTTTAATATCCCTTTTATTTTGAGGTTAGATAACAACAGATTTTGATTTGAACGTGACGATATATAACATGTATCTAAAATTAATTAATTTTAAATATTAGAACTTAATTAGATACAACGTAGAATTAATTCTTTGAAACAAAGAACCCTTACATGAATTGTCCTTTCTGGCACCTTGTCATGCATGATTGGAAAAAGACAAATAATTAATGGGGTGAAAAATAAAATAGAACACTCTTGATTACGTGACGCAGTGTGCATTCTTGTCCTTGTCCACAAGAATTCGTAAAAGGAACATGCATGTGAATCAAGATGACGAGTTGCCATGAAGGCCACTAACTCAACTAGCCGTACCAGGCTATATATATATATAACATCTATTTCAGAATCCAAGTCATAATTTAATTATCAAAGTTAGCTTCTCAAAATGTGCAAAGGTATAGAAGAAAAAAAGCATGCTGGTTCATGCAGGAGCTTGCCACCTGCAGAGAAGTCTTCGTTTGCTGTTACAAGAGGTTGTTCGACATCCTGTGAACTGTGTGGTTTCCAGGCTTCTTTGTATTGTCTAGCAGATGATGCGTATTTGTGCAGAAAATGTGACAAATGGGTTCACAGTGCTAATTTTTTAGCCCTGAGACATGTAAGGTGTTTTTTATGCAACACATGTCAGAACCTTACTCAGAGATATCTGATTGGAGTCTCAGCAGAGATCGTTCTTCCAGCAAGATGGATTGAGCAGAAACAGAACCTTCCTAACATCCATGAATATCGTTCAAGAACGATAAACAAACCTTTAAACTTTCTCTAGTTTTAGGCAGTGTTCTTTTCCTGCTTGTTCTTTTTACAACCATATATTCGAAAACCAAGTTGCTTCAACGACATACTTGTGAAAATTAAAGAGGACATGCGTGCAATGTTTTGAATTTCCTTAAACTTGTGTTTTGAATTTCCTTAAACTTGTTGAACACGCAGTTTCAAATAAATATATATATATATATATATATATATATATATATATATATATATATAAAATATCTGCAGTTATTAACACATTATGGTAGCAAATATAATAAAAGAATACTTGCCATGGTTATCATATAATAAAATATAATAAAAGTTATATGCTGGCGAAACTACAAGGATCGACTGCTACAACTCCAGATGGATCTGATAAAAAAATTATCAGCCTAAAGCCCTAATAATTATTTGAGTTTATGCAGTTGACTACAGTTTTATCTATGAAGCTTATTAATTGATTTTGCTTATAAGAAGCGTACTAATAAATTGTTGGAATTACATGGCAATAAAATATAACTTAAATGGGTTTAAGGGGTGGGCCGAGTGATATGAGATGAGAGTTGGGTTGGGGTGTTCTTAGAAATTTGTTTAGGATGTGATTTTCTCCAGCTTTGTTACTGTTTGCAGCCTGGGTTCCACCATTACCGTACACTTTTTTTCTCCAGCTTGGCTAGACATTAACTATTTTGATAGACCTGTTTGTGTATCTTTGTTTTCTTTTTTAGTTTGAAATTGTGCATTGGAGTGATTCACAAACGTGTGTGATTATCATGTTTCTATCTTCTTCAATAATATATCAATGCAAACAAACACAGTGTAAATGAGGCAATTAGATGTTTGTATTATTGTAAAAAATATATAATTGATAAAGTTATGATAAAAAAATATATAACTAAATATAATTTTTTTCTCTTTAATGATTAAAAATAATTATAGAAAATTATATTTTTTATTAAATTATGTATTTAAAAGTAATCTAATGATCTTAATTTAAAATATTTATATTTTAATTTATACTTTTTTATTTTCATAATTAAACTAATTGTGAATATTAAGACTAAAAAATGAAAGTGTAAAAACCTAAAAATAATATTTTGTTTTGCAAAAACTACCATCAAAGCCACACTTTCAAAGACTAGCTAACATATATTCAGTTTTTTAACCATTTTACAGAAGAAAAACCTGTTTTTTTATTATATCATTGTTTAAATCAATTTAATTTCTTAAAATATTTTAATTATTCTTTAGTTAAAGGATAAACAGTAATAATTTGTTTTATAAAATATAAACAATTATATAAAAAGTACAATACTTTACTAATTGACCAAATTATTCAATGAAAAGAAGGTCATATGCACTGAATGTAAAAACTTTGTTAATTTACCGTTAAATTCTTACACAAATTTATAACTTTTTTTATAATAAATAATTAAATATACAATCCCAATCTATAAAGATATAAATAAAATATTAACAGTAATTTAAGAAACACGAATATTATCTCATCTCAACTGTAATTATGTTTAAACCATATTCAATCTCTCAAAATAGTCTTTAAAATGATCAAAATAGATTATATAAATCAGTTTTACAACCAAATAAAAAAAATCATTAGATTTGACTCATGTTTAATAATAAATTAGAATTTTTAAAATTGTCCTATTGAATTAACGGGTGAATTATAATTTGATTAAAAAAATATATTAACGTGTATATCAAAATAATTAATTAAAAATAAATAAATATAAAAAATATATTTTTAATATTTAAATTATATTAATAAAATATTTTTTATTTAAATTACAATGTTTTTTTAATAATTTATTGATATAAAATAATAATTTATTTTAATTATTAAGTATTAAAATAAATAATTATTAAAATTTAATTCTAATATTTAGAATTTTATACATATATATTTTTTAAAATTTATTAAAATGGATAATTTTTAATCATTTTTAAATTTAAATAAGTGATTATAAAATATGAAGATATCGTTTCAAAATTGTTTTTTTATTTAAGAAAAAATCGTACTACGATTTTTATATAATTTTATATAAAAGTAGTAGTAAAACTTTTATTATTATATTATAATAATAATAATTAATTATATTATTATAATATTAATAAATTTATTTATATTATTATTATTATTATTATTAAAATTAATAATATAATTATAATTATTAATATTATTATTGTACTATTATGTTAATAATATATATACTATTTATTTTATTTTTAATAATAATAATAAATCATATAATACCAAAATTGTTATTATTATTTATAATAAAAAATAATATATTAATATTAAAAATAGTATTACTTATTATTCATTAATAATAAGATAATAATATAATAATATTATTATTAATTATATTAATAAATATAAATATATTTTTTATTATTTATTTTATTAATTATAAATAATATAAATAAAATAAACTGGTACGTAGATGTTGAGGTGAATTTCTAGTTTTTGGAAATAGGTATTGTTCTACAGAATTTCAGTTTATTCCGTAAATCTGTAAATTTATGACTTAAATTTTGATTTGGTCTCTTATATATTTTGTATATTTTTTGTTTCTTTATATTTTATGCATTTGTATAGAAAAAAATAATTGTTTTTCTTTCTTTATTTTTATGTATTTGTATAGAAAAAAATATTAAATGTTCGATATGTGAACATGATTGAGATATCTACTGTCACATATACTTTTATTAAAAGAATATACATATATAAATCAAATAGACAATAACTAAATGTATTAAAATTATTATTATAAGTTATAATAATATTAATTTTTTATAAAATAATTATAATAATTATTAAAATATAATAAATAAATTAATATAATTTATTATCATAAATAATAATAGCATTTTTATTATATAATTTAATTATTATTAAAGTTAAAACAATAATAATAATAATAATATTTACATTATTAATATAATAATACATAATAGATAATAATTAATAATTAATAATTATATAATATTATATATATTATTAATATTAATAGAATAATATAATAATTATTAATTATAATAGTATATTTGTTATTATTTATTTTATTAATAATATAAAAATTATTATTATTAATTATAATATATAATAACAATTATTATAATAAAATAATAAAAGTCATGATATAAATTTATATAAAAATCCTATTATTTAACACAACTTCTTCTTAAATCTAAAAGAAGAAAGAAAAATATAAACACAATTTTTTTATACTGAAGTTTACTTAATTTTTAATTATATTAAAATTTATTTATTTTGGTAAAAATTTTAAAAAATTGTAACATGTAAAAAATATATTTATTTTAAGTTAATTTTTTATTAATTTAATTTATAATATTTATTTTAATAAAATAATATTATTTTATTTAAAATATATATTATTATTATATAAAATCGATTATAAATCGATGAATCCTATCAAAATAGACTATGATTGAATTTTTATAATAATTTTTTTCCTATTTTAATTTATTTCTCCAAAGTTTTTGTGAAACATGTCACCCTAATTTTAATTATCGATATAACATGGAAAGTAAATCTTATTACAGTTTAATTACACATAATAAATTTTTATTTTAATCCAATTGACATTTTTTTCTTCCAAATTTTTGTGAAACATGTCACCCTAATTTCAATTATCAATATAACACGAGAGTAAATCTTATTACAGTTTAATTACACATAATAAATTTTTATTTTAATCCAATTGACATATTTTTTTCTTAATTTCATACAAATTAGATTTATTTTCTTAAATCATATTTAACGGTCTTATTTCATAAAAATAATATATATATATATATATATATATATATATATATATATATATATATATATATATATATATATATATATATATATATATATATATATATATATCAATGAAATACTACACGAGGCAATATACATAATTTAAATATGTCATTTGTTATTCAACCTATTGACTTATTTCATTGTTTCTACGCATATCTCATTATCTCTATTCAAGGTATCCAGCTTAACTTTTAATTTGTCTAGTAGCATCATATTAAATATAATATATTTTATTTTTAATAATTTCTCTCGCTTCAAATAGTAAATTTCATGTACATATACTTGACAAAATTACAAAATCAAACAAGTGGAATAATGAGAAATTTATTAAATAACAAAGTAAGAGTAATGTTATTTTTCCAATCACTTGTAAAATTAACTTTTTTCTTTTTTCACAAATTAAAAATCTTGCATATAAAAATTGATGTAGAATATGTTTAATTATATTTTTTTAATAAAAGTTTCTTTAGATTATTTCTTACCTCTTATTGTATTATATTATTATAATAATAATATATTATTTTTATATTATAATAATAATATATTATTTTATAATAATTTAATTACAATTTATTTTATATTTGTAAAATAAAAGATATATATTATCACTGTACAAGATACCCCAAATTTTCTCTTATCCCATATGTCGAAAGCCCTAACAAGAGGCATAAAACTTGAATTGAGAAAATAGGGAGTCGAGTCAAGCAACAAAGTCAAGTAGTTGATGAAGAAACACCATCTGTGGTGAAGCTCACAGAACTGCTCTTAGTGTAAAAGTGTCACTTCTCTCAATTTTTCTCTCTCAATCTTCCACTTCAAGGTATCTCTCACCAAATTGCACCGAGCGAACCAGAGCAATTTCTTTGTAATTTATTATTATCTTCTATTTTCTTTTCCATTTTTTTATCTCATTGTTCGCATTTTATCAGGACACACGGTTGCTGAAATGTTGGGAAATACGGGATTTAGGGTTACGTCTTCTTTGTGCCGGAATTGAAGTTTGAAATTGAATCCAATTGAATATTATTTATTGAATCATTTGCAACTTAGTTGAAGATGGTTGAAGGAAAGCAGTTCAAGACCAAGTTATGTGTTCTGTATCAGAGAGGTCGCTGCAATCGCCATAATTGCTCCTTCGCCCATGGGAATGCGGAGCTTCGACGATTCCCTGCCTCATATAGTGGTATAGTTTTCTAGTTTGCTTTGCTCATATACAGTGCTATTGTTTTATTATTACATTATTGTTTTTAGTTGTTTAGTTGAGTCCATATCTCGTGAATTGAGCTAAGTTGGATGTTGATTATCTGTGCTGATGTTAGTTGACGGTTGGTTGATGGGTGTTGTGATATTTGCTGCCCGGTGTTTCGAGTAACAATTCCTTAGGGTCTGATTGGGAGTGTGGTTTTCGAGAGAAAAGGTGGAGGATATTTTTAAAAATTTTTGGATTAAGAGAATTACATACTATTATAAAAATAAACAAAATATTTCAAGTTGGGACACTATATTTATGTTGAACTATCATATTATTTCTTTCATTGTAAAAAAAAGTATGAAATTAAAATCATTAATTAGGCATGATAAATTTTCCTTTGTTCCCTTTCCTCCAAAATTTAACTTCGAGAATACCCTTAGATAATTGCATGCCTGGTTATGTGAGGTAAACAAATTATGATTGAAAGGAAGAAGCTTGTTTGTGTTTGAAGGTGTTCAGATCTTTTATTTGAGTAAAACTTCATAGACAAGGAAAGTACATCGAGAATAAAGAAAGGATGGACAAATCGGTCCACTATAGTTAATTGCTTGATATCATAGAGCTTTTTAATGCTAAATGTTTTTGGTCCCAATATATGTGGTTGGAGTCTGCTTGAAAAATAAGTCTTGATGACAAAGATTGGGTGGCTATGTAATACAGAAATTTAGAGAATGTTAAACACTGTTTTGCAACTATTACAACCTTTATCTTATCATCATGTTCATCCTCCTTTAGAGAATGGTTATTGCATATCACATTCTAGTCTTGTTTTTCCTCCTAGGGATTTTCTTCTAATGACCCCACCCTTGAGTGCAAGACAATGAACCAGAGCATAGCATTTTTATTTGCTAGCTAGTTTCATGTCCGTCAAAGCTGGCTTCTTTCTTCTTTGTTATAATTTCTTTTCTATCTCTCATTGCATGTAATTTTATAACTCTACCCTTGAACCTGCTTTTAATACTTCCTTCCCATGCCACTATCAATTTATTCATTTTCTAAATTGCTGTGCTCAAATCAATGTTGTAGAATGAAAATTTGACACAAATTGGAAAAATTCACCATGTTTCTTCTTGTAGATATAGGTAACTTGTAGATATGTCCTCAGATTACTGTAGTCCACTCTAATCCTATGTCCTTTGTTTTTTATATAATTATTATTCATGTGACATGAAGCTGTTTAAATGGAAGCTGAATTTCATCCTATATTTGAGATAACATGCTGAATTTTCATAGTTTGACTAATTATGAGAAACCAAATGAGAGAATATACCAAAAGAGAAATATGTGAGGAAAAAAAAATTGTAATTATATAGGGATGAGTTCCCACTATTGCAGCATATCCTGAAAACAGTTTTTTTTTTACACCCCAGCTTGTTTTATTGACACTGTTATTCCATTTGTTTCGCTGAATGCCATATTCGTAAAACCAAATTACTTATCTAATAGACTGGTCCATATGTCCATTGATTCTATGTAAGCAGATCCAGAAGCATATATATGCAATAACAAATGGCATATGGCATTAATGTCAGATTTATCACATTATCTTGTTGAGACTATTGCATTTCCTGCAGTTTGGATATTTCATTTAAATGAGAGGTCTTCAGAAGGCATTCTACTGATTGGTTTATCTTAAAGGCGATGCTGGTGTTGTTCATGAAATTGTATTTTCTTGGCAATGTTTTTTATGCTTCATTCCTTGAATCTATGGAACTACAGTGTTACCTCATATCTTTGTTAGTCTTACATGGAATGTCTGCTAATATCATGTTTTGATCAGAAGCAAGTTCAGCAAATTTCCAATCATTTCATTAAAAATTCTACTGCTTGAGTGTGTGGAGCTTATGCTATTCCTTTTGGATGATACTTATGGCTATATTATGGCTTTATGGACACTGGCAAAAGGGAATTAATTAGTGGAGATGATGTCAGGAGAAATCGAATCTGATAGCTTGTTGATGGAATTTTTATTTCTTAAGCATCTTGGATGTATCCCTACGTTTGAGATTATATTTTATATCTTACTTCTCTCATCAAGTTGGGGATGTGAAATGTTCTTAATCCATTGCTACCTTGATTACACTTCAAAGTATAAGCTACATGCGTGGGTTTTACTATATCTGTCATAATATGAGGGTGCTAGTTTCTATCCACGTTTTTGCTCTTACGTGGGAGGCACTAATACTATTCATTATTGTGTTTCTCTTGTTATTCCTGTTAATGGTAAGCTTGGTTTCATTATCATTTTTATTGCATTCTGTTTGTATCTTCTGGAATTTTTTTTTTATTAGTTTTCAATAATGGAGCTTTTTTTTTTTTTTTTTTTTTTATTTCAGGGAGGAGAGACTATTTAGGTAATGACTTGAGGGATAAACTTGACAGAAGGCATTTATCTCCTCGAAGATACTCACCAGCCCAAGATGCAAGAGGCCGCCAGAGCATCCGTGGTTAGACAGAACAACTTTATATTTCTTCTTGATCCTTAGTTTAGTGTCATTTCTTAATTAGTTGTACCTGGGGGTTTCAGCTTTTCTGTCACTTAAAATGCTTATTTTTTATTTCCCCGGGACAATTTTATGCTTCATGTTCTGAGGCTGATGTCTTCATTCTTCAAACCTTGAATGTCTGTAAATTTTAGAGCAACTAAGAATTAAAGGCTAAAGAGTTTTCCTGTTACTGATTTTCTGTATCTCTTGATAGACAGTTCAGGTATTTATAGTACAGAGATACAATCATTTATGGTAACTGCTTGTAACAGAATTGACAGTTATGATAACAGAAATGACAGCTAGCATAACAAACTGCTGCTAACATAACTACTGGCAGAGGCTAATCTATTACTTACAACAGAAGCTAAAAATACAATCACACATATCTGTTAGTGTCTGATGTCATGAATTTCTAGATTTTCATAGATCTTCAAGTAAGTGACTTGCAGAGAAGTGGCTTATTTCTCTCTATTGTGTCTCCAGTTTTCTACAAGCTATGAAGAATATTCCTTGCTTCACTATAATTGCACCTGTTTAACTGGGCATAAATGGGAGTATGCATTTGTAAATGTGTTTTTATTTCTTCATGCACTAGATCATGCCACTTAATGTTGATACTATACACACCAAAAAGAGAGAGATGTGCACATGCTGCTTTACCCAATGATTTTGTGCCTGTTCTCTTCCTAATGTTTCATGAATTAAATATTGCAGAATACAGTCCTTCGAGATCTTTGGAGAATAAAAGGTAAATCAACCATGAATCACTATTGATACTTTTTGTATATATTTTTACTTTTTGTTGGAATTCATTGCCTATTATTGTTCTTCTTCAATGTAAATGTATGTTAAAATATGCTATATTTAACGGATAAACCTGTGAATATTGTATTTCTATTTAGAGAAAAAGAATTGACATTGAGTGGGAGGCAACCTTTGAAAGGGGAAAGAAACGGAGAAAGGTGGGGTTGACTTGATGTGTTGCGAACAATAGATAATAGATTAACAAGTTCATAGGAACATGCCGAGGATATTTATTTTATGTGCCATGAAATTTTCAATGTATTTGTGAACTGATGAACACGAAGTTTCCATTCTTTTGTTGGCTTTTGCTATTATTCTTCACAATTGTGGTTCATAGTAGTCATATGCTGTGGGCATGACAGCCTTAATGTATAAAGGCATTTGATATTAAGAACTTGGTGACGGAATTTCTTATCTTGACTGTCTAATATCTCTAGGAGCAAACCGTTATTTGTTAATATGTTATTTCATTTTTGTGTACGATCCTTGTCCATATTTTAGTCTAAAATAAATATCATTAATTGCTGTTGCAGTGATAGAAGACATAGGAGGAAGCAGGGTATTACTGGTCAAAGTGATACTTCTGGAAATTTGAAAGTCTCAGATAGAGTTCAAGATCAAGTTAAAGAAAGAAAAATGATTTCCTCTGGTTCTAGGAATACTCTTGAGGAGCAGGTTTGAAAATTCTGTTTAATCTCTCTATTGCAAAAAAATGTGGAAAATTCCCTAGTTTGTTATGAAAAATTGCATGTTTGTTTTTATACTTGGAACTTGTGCAGCTGAAGAAAGTAGATTCAAGTATTAGCAATCTACAGAACCGAAAATTCCAGCTAGAGGTTCGTATTATCTCTTATAGTTGCATTTTGTCACATCATCCTTGTGTTTTTGTCTCTGTTAACTTGTCTGTTAAAAAAATTGGTTATCTAGTGTTTAGACCTATTTTTTTAACCAGTGTACTTGGACTTCCAAATCATTCACTGAAGGGGTTCGACTGAAAATTATTCCTTGATTTGGTTGCATATTGATCCTTCCTGTCTTTTTAAAGAATTGATTAACTTTTAGTTATTAACATGTTTTGTTTTTTACTTTACTATCACAAGCTAGCACAGCTTGTTATTTCTTGTCCTATCATTTGTTAGCTGATGATCTTAATGGTGGCTTTTGATATATCCTCTATCACTCATTCTGTTTTGTGTGTTTTTTAAGCATTAATTTTTATTTGCTCTTGATTCCTGTAGTGTAAACATATGTACCGACTGTAATTATGTGAATAGGTTTTGAAACAATCATTAGCATAAGTCAAGTATAGTAGCAGTTGTCAGGGCTGGCCCCTGACATGCCATCTAGAATTTTATGTGCAGTTGGCATGATCCATATTTCTAAACAGGCCCTATTTTTTAAACCCAGCTTGGTCCTATGTCGGATCAATGGATCATTTTGGCTCACTTTTATAAAGTGAAAAAAACAATGTACTAAAATTTAACTTGTATTAATGAAATTAAGTTTAATTTTAGATGTAATAATTGGATATATAAATTATATTTCATATATATGTTTTGATAAAATAATATTAGTTTTATTTTTTTAAAATATAATTATTATTTTATAATACGGATTGATCCATAAACTTATGAATAGGCCAAACAAAAAATGACATGTTCAATTAAGGCCACACTTTCTTTCCTTGACCTAGCCCTTTTTGGTTTAATTTTGGACCGGGTACATTTTGACAATCCTAGTTTTGTTGTTTGATTCTGGTCCTGATATTGAAGTGTTGTTTCAAATGATGTCCTGAGAATAATGATTCATCCTTCCAGTCTGCCTCCCTAAATTTAATTGGAAAAAGAAAATGTTTCTTCAGCTAATACTAATTATCCTGTTGGAGTTGCAATTGAATTTAAATCATGGTTTTTTAGCTGTTAACTGTTATTTACAAATGCTTATTTTTGAAGGTCTACCTTGATGAGAGTATTCAAGAAGTGGATAGCCTTAATTCTAGAATTCAGGAACTTGAAGCTCAGTTATGCAAAGAGGATGAGGAGTGCAAACGGTACTGAAATGTTTCAAGATCCATATGTTGATAATATTTGTTAACTGTTACACCTCTCCCTTACCTTGGCATTTCTTTGTTCTCTCTGAAAATTCAGAATTACTTCAAGAATAAGGAAATTTGTTAGAGTGCACAATCACACGTCACAGTTACAAGATGAACTGAAGAGGTAAGTTTTTTTTTTTCTTTTCAAATTACTTTGCTTTGTGTATACTTGTAGTGCGCTTTAATCTCTTCTGGTGCATCATTTCCTTTATATGTATCTGTAGTGGCATGCAATTGTATTCAATGTTTGTTTCATCATCTTTTGTATAGATCGCAAGTCCGACTTCAGCGATTTGGAGATCAGCTTGTCTCGGACATTTCTAGAATTGGTGCTAATGAAGAAGATTTAAGCATTGATATTATCAGCAATGGTGAAAATACTGGTCTTCTTCCTACTGTCAAACATAATCCGGAGCATAATGATGCATCATCCCACAGAAAAAGGCTGCATCTTGAACGCGATGCTTTGGAAGATATAAAACAAGGTAGTAATTATGGAAAATATAGCGATGTTGTTTTGTTTAACTATTTCAGAATTCCAGAAATACTATATTTGCTAAACTAAACATTAGGAGGTTCAAAATCAAAACTGCGTCATATTCTTATAATTCATTCTGGAGACAAAGCACATCTGCTGCCAATATTTGTGACTTTATTTGCTGCGTTTTGCTCTGCATTCTGCAAATACGTTTCGTTATTTTTTAGTTTAATCTGTTCACCAGTTAGTTGTTGTAATTGTGTTTTGTTATTCATGCTAATTTCTTTGTGATGCATATGCAGATAGATCCAAAGATGGCCATTCGGTTGAGACAGCTAGAACTAAGAAGCGTTCTCGGTGGAATATTTCAGATCAATTGCATGACGAGTCACTTGGGGGCCCAGACAATGGAACTGAAGTTATTAGAGCTCTAGATCTTGAAGGGAGGCACAAGAGAGGAGTAAGGAATTCTTCTAATGACATTTTATCAGAAAACATACAAATTCGAATAATTATGTGTCCTCATAGTCATAGGGATTATACTGACCTAGGTAAGCATGTATAAGTATGGTATTAGGAATATGATTGAACTATGAATGCTTGGATATGGAATGATCTAGTGTAGAATGCTTAGCTTTGTTTAGCCTCAAAACAGTACATTGCATGAGGCGGGGGTTGTGTACCCTCAAGGTTATACCGACCTGAAATGCAAAGGTGCTATGCCAGTATTACAGATAGGCGTTTGTCTTAGTTTTCTATTAGGAACTGACATACGAGGACATTATACTTAATCATTTTGGCATTTAGTCGATATAATGTAACTGTAGGTAGTCATGACATGTTATTAGGAGGGTACGTGAAGAGAGTGTTCCTATCAATGCCAGTAACGTGAGGCAAAAGAGGAGAGACGTCCAGGTGAGGGGGAGGTTTTGGTGGGGATTCATTGGTCAGATAATCCTTAAATCGCAATGGAGGGTATAAAGATCATTAACCAATATAGAATGCTCTCTGACTTGGATTTATGAGATCATCTGAATCACTAACTGTACCAAACTACTTTGTTGTTCTTCCTCTACTCTCACTAAAAAATACAGGTTGTTTCGTGTGTTGCATTCTACATGTTTTTGTCCTCTGTGGGCCCCCTTTTTTGTTTCATTCATGCATCAAGCAGCTTATCTTAATGTGCTTTGAATAAGCTTTTTGAAGTTGACTATTATTATCATTGAAATTGACCTATCCATTCTTCACCATCAATATGCAGTTGAAGCAACCTAGGATTGAAGTGCCACCAACCAGCATGGCAGCTCATGTGGTTGATGAGGACGTTGATGTTGAACTTTACAACGGAACTGATATCAATGAAACTGCAAATACGGAAAATGAGAATGGAGTTTCATATAAGGTGAAGGTTGCACCGCTTATGCTTCCCCCAGCTTTGATACCTCGTAGCAATTATTCGCAGGTTAGTTCTTCTTGGGTGCATATTTTACACATCCTTAAAGCACTTCTAAGAAACATTTTTAAGAGTACGTATTCTAACTTCATGTGCAGTACGAGGGTAACGACGAGAATGTTGATGTAGATGGTTGATGAAGAGGCAGCAGGGGCCCATGTGATTTAGTGTAACCAACATTGGCAGTTTCTAACTATCTTTTGGTGGCTCGAAGGTATTTGTTGAAAGTGTCAATGGCTAGAACAGGTGCGTTTGAGATAGACGATAGGATGCAAGATAGGGAAACAAGAAACAAAAAGACTTATGGATCTAATTGATTGTCTATTTTCTGTTGGACTTCTTGATGTGGTTATAAATATCATCCTCTATTGTCATTGATTTTTTTTTTTAATTATATTCATCAATAATAAAAATAAACATTCTCACGTAATGTAAATATTTAAAAATATACGAGAAAAATGATTAAAATAAATAGATGAAAAATAAAACAAATTCAAAATAAATTAATTTTGAGATACTAATGAACATTAAAATATATTTATTTGTTTAAAATAATGTTTTAATATAATATCTTAAAATATATGAACATTTTAAAGAGCATAAAATATAAAAAAACAACTTAATTTTAAGAAAATTACTGTTGAGAGAATAAGGTCATATTAAAAATATTCTAGATAGTTTTCTAATTTATTCTATTTATTAACATACATATAAGATGTTGTAATTTGTAATGTAAAATTCAGAAATATATAAAAGATTTGGACGATGAGAATAGTTGAATGAAGGTAAAAAAGATATATTGGGTTATTTGTATTCATTTTGAAATGGCTTTTTTAAGTCATATTTATCAATAATAAATTTAAGTAATTTCACATAATGTTTAAAAATAGATCAGAAACATAAATAATATATATATATATATATATATATATAAGATATTTTAATTTTAAAAAATATTTTTTAAAATTATATAATATATAAAAACATGTGAACAACTCCAAGAGAGTTAAAAAATAATCAAATAAAAAAAGAAATTAATTTTGACAGTATAATGTTACGTTAAATATATTTAAAATAGATTTCTAAATTATTAAATTCACTAATAATAATTTTACCCGGGTGTAATGTGATATTTGAAAACAAATATTAAAAACTCGGATAAGAGATATAATTGAAAATTCGAGACATTAGGGTAAAAAAAACGATAGATTTGTATTTTCATTTTGATTTTTTTTAATTATATTCCTCAATAACAAATTTAAGGGAAAAATAATTTTTTCATTTAATAATTTTTGGTAAATATTTATATTTAATATAATTAAAATATTTTATATAAAATTTATAAAATATTAATTATTTTATTAACATCGTAATTATTATCATTAAAAAAAGTTATTTTGTGCTATGTATTAAAGGATACGAATGACTAATTACGAATATATATTCGCAAAAATTTCTTCAATAATTTTTTTTTCATATGTTAATTTTTTAGTTATGATAATTAAAATTTAATAGTAATATTTAAAAAATTAAATGATTATTTTAATTCTATTAAACACATGTATTTATTATAATTATTATATGAAAATATATTTTATTTATTTTGATAATTTTATACTGATAAAAATTAGTAATTTAGGATAATTATTATGAAAAAATAATACTAAGAAATATTTTTCATTTTAAAAATTTAAAAGAAAAATAATTTTGAAGATTATCTTAACAAAAGAATTATCAACATGTAATTTATTATGTAAAAATTAAAAAAATGATTTTTTAAAATAATAAACAACCAGATTTTAATATTTATTTTTAATTTCAGTTAAGGCTCAGATTAAGATAAAAAAATATTTTTTCAAACATAAGTAATATTCTTTTTTTTTTACATCAGTAAATATTTTATCTTTCTATTAAAAATATTATAAATATACTTTATTTTCTAAATTATACTCTGTCACAATTTAGGACATAATTTTAGCAAGCAAATAGCAGCACCAGCAGCAAGCGAGTGAGTGTGATTTATCTTCTTCCACTGCAACATATTGAGGATTTTCGTTCCCCCTCTCCCTGCGATACCCTCTATAATCTCTCTAGACCTACACGAAGGAACCCAACAGCCATGTCCACCACAATACGACCCCTCTTATCTCCCACCCTCTCCTTCAAATCCTCCTTCCCTCCCACTCAATTCCAACCCTTTAGGCTCCAATTCGGACCCAAACTCATCGGCTTTTCCCCCAAACCCTCAACTTTCCCTCTCGGAAGACGTTTCGCGCTAAACGACAAGGTCAGTAACGGCGACGTTTTGACAGGGTTAGATGAAGCAGAGAAAGAGGCGCGAGGAAATAGCACCATGCCCGAACGCTTTAGGTACCTCGCCAAAGAAGTTCCCAGTCCTCCTGTTAGGTGGCCATGGTTTGTGGGTCAGTTCTCCCTCTCTCTATATATAGGCAAACAGGAGAAATTAAATAAAGTTAACTTTTTTATTTTCAGCTGAATAATTGCGTAATGGGTTATATAAACAATTATGAAGAATGATGTTAGGTTTTTGTGAAGGCTTTGTTTGGTTGAAAGATAGATGGGGAAGTAAGAATTGGGGAAATTTAAGGTTTTTATGAACTTCCACCATGTTCTTACGTTTCATGTCATGGTTAAAAGTTGTGTCAGCAAAATTATTCAGGGACTGATGCAATCAGAAAAAACACATTTTTTTATTGCTGTTAAGTTTGGTTTTTGGCTTCTTTTGTGAATCATGCTTAACCTCAGCTTTAATATACTTGTGTTGATTTGTAAAATTATGTAGTAACATTTTGAACTTTTGATAATGGTATTGTGTGATTCTATGTGTATTTTTGTTGAATTATGAGTTTATGACGCTAACAATATATGACTTGTTTACGATGAATGGTCTGTAGTGCACTTTTTTTTCAACGGTTTTTAATTTTTGTGGCCCTTATTGCTCTATTGCTCATGGTGTATATAAATTTCATTTTAAGAGTTGATCATAACTGACTTGGTTACTATATTTTCTTTTATTCTGGCTGTTGTCAAATTTAGAACCATTTTGAAAATCATATATATATAAACTGCTAAACCAAATTGGAGAAGATCGGGATAGTTGATTCATACTTGATATCACATTTGAACCAAACCTAACCGAACCAATTTTTTATTTTTCTAAATTTGGTTCTTTCCGTTCTAAAAATTAAAATTTGAATCAAACCAGACTGTGAATATGCCCAAACTTTACATTATTGTAGTTCAGATATGAAATGAACCTTACATGTGGAAGTTAAATTTGTATGCTATGAGTGTCTTAGCTTCCATGGTGAACTCTTTTGTCCAGCTGTTTTGTTTTCTTGACTACTTGTTTTCTCTTTTATTCGATAATGTAACAATTTAATTTCATGTCATGTACAGTGATGGCTTTTCTCATCTATGCTTGGAGAGTTGTTCTATTTGAACTGTCAAACTGGAAGAATGCTGCATTAGCAATTGCTCGTTTTATAGGATATGTCTTGAAATACGCATTTGCAGTAGTCTACCATTTCATAGGAAGTCCAATCACGTTTTCAATTAGATGCATGGAGGATTTATTTTACACAATTCGGGCTTGTTACTCTTGGATAATTAGCAATGCCCCCGTACCAGACCTGACCCTCATCGTTGTGCTAGCATCAATTGTTTTAGCCATTGGTGAAGCTACTGTACCAAACTGCATCAACAACCAACCTTATGTTTTGACTGTATCTGGTCTTATTGGCTATGCTGCTGTCAGAGGATATATCTCTGAACCTTTGTTCTGGACCCTTCTGCTTGGGGTGTATGCCTTTTCAAAATTTCTCAAGAAGAGAGATGATGTTTCAGCTGCAATGCCAGTTGCAGCCGTGCTTGCTGGTGTTGGGGAACCTTGGGTTAGAGTTTTGGTGATTATTTCATACACAGCCTTAGCCATATATCAGTATTCCAAAATGCCTTCAGAAGGGAAAGAAGCTGGGGAAGTTGAAACAAGAGAGACAAGGCTTCCAATTCCACTTCTTCTTTCAGCTTTAGCTATTGGCTTGCGAGTTGCTGCTAAGTGGTCTGGGTACAGGCACTTGACATGGATGATTGTATGATTACTGATAACTAGAAGTGTATCTGAGTCCAGAGAATAATGAATTTTGGTGGGTCTATAATAAAGGCTATTATAGAGGTTATTAATCTGTTCTACGTGATGCAGTTCTTGTAGTGTTCTTTGCATGCTTTAAAATGAGCAGTGATTCCTTAGGTTGTGCCTCTGCATATAATAAGCTTCATCTCAGACTTTCAGAAAATGTATTTTGCAATTTTGATTTGCGGCCAGTGCAGCCGAAGTCTTATGTCTCTCCATCGTTGAGTTTTTTGTTTGAAAATTTGTAGGGAACTAATGGATTGAAATGCTAGAGAAAAGGATGGATTAGAAAAGAATTTTAGATTATTGACAAGACTTATATATTATTAGGTCAGGTACAATAAATTCTTCATGACATTTTTTTTTTCAATGATCCTTGAGTCTGCATGATTTAAGAAATTCATATGCTTTAAGCATTGTTTGATTTAGAAAAAATAAAATAAAAGGAAAGAAATTGAAAGAAAAGGGGAAGAAAAAGAAAAACATAGTAGATGATTTTAAGTTATGTGGTAAGAGAAAAAAATTGAAAGGAGAGAGAGAAAAGTTTTTTCCCCCTTTGTTTGTATAGTAAGGTTTGGGAATGTCCTTTTTACTGTGAAAGAAATTAGGAATGAGTTTGGGAATGGTTTATCACTGTTGCTGCTGACTCGAAAATTTGCTTGAGTCGTTTAAGAGTTATAGAGTAAAAGTGGATGTTATTTTCGTCATATAAGACTTAAATTACGATTTATTTTATAAAATATGTTCTAAGATAAATTATATCATTAAAAATATAATATATCAAATACTATATATCAAATAAAAAATATACCAAGTACTATAATTTTTTTAATTTGAATCCTCAGGCTGAAATAGATTTAGAAGGTCGTGTATCATACACATTTCTTAAAAGAAAAAATAAAATTGTTAGATTAACGTACGTATTAATTTATTTATTAAAAAGGTAAGCCAAGAGCCCATACTAAAATTCATAAAAAATAAAACAGCAAAAATGTTAATTTTTCATTATAATATTGTTAGTGGAAAATCGAGAAAAACGATCGAAAACAAAGGAAAAGAAAGAGAAAACACGTGACTGATAAATCAAGATAGATAAAAAATCATTCGATGTCTAAGCACGTAACACATAACATCGAGAAGTACAATCGAGAATCGAAGGAATGATAGTCAAATGCCTATTGTCGAATAAAAACCTAAGAAACTAGAATGATAAGACGTTAAGGTTGAAAAGGAATTGTAAGCAATTCGAAGTTCTCGAAAGTGTAAAATCGAAAATGAAGAAAACTAACCTACACGGACATCGAAAACTTTGGCCAAACCATAAAGAGAAGAGTAAGTCAAACACACGGATAGAGAGCAGTTTCGAAACCATGGAGGAAATCGAAGATCGTGAGAACGTGGGAAACCGTAGAAGATAAACCGCCATATGCACGTAGAACGTGGTAGCAGTCGTGTTAACTGCTCTTGGAAGACTTGAACGATGCACTATAAATAGAACAAAGAAGGAAGAAATAAGGGGGCAGAAATTGGCAGAAAACAGAATCAGTAGTGAAAAGTCTACCGGAGAAACGACGAACACCATGAAGCTTCTGGCAATCTGGATTTCCTTGCTCACTGAGTACATTTACCGCTTTCTGTATTTTCCTTGATAATTTACTTTGATGCAACTTAAATTCAGCAGTTTTATGTTTATGTATTTTCCATTCCTTGTCACTTCAATTCAATGAAAGTTTAAATTTCTGCATTTAAGTTTCCCTGTCATTTACTTTTCTTGCAATCTCGATTTCCTGTCATTTACTTTTCTTGCAATCTCGGTTTCCTGTCATTTATATTTGCACTGTTTTCGATTTCTTTTCATTTACAATTAATGTAAATTTGGGGTTTTCGCACTTTACATTTCCTCGCAATTTAATATTCTGTTTCTCGATTCGATATTTTACTGTGTTCGGTATTTTAAATATAAAAAATAGCATTTTCGATATCTGTAACTTTCGATTCTTATACACGTTTTCGATTGAAAGTCAAATTGCTAGCCTAAGTAAAAAGAACTTACGTGGGAGGATTTTGATTAGGACCAAAACACCTTTAGAATCGAAATCGATCGAAATTCCACCAGAAACAAATTGGCGCGCCAGGTAGGGGTTCTTGTGTTGAGAAACACAAAATTGGTTAGTTCGAGAGTGTATGAGATTAAGGAGTGGGAGAGTCATGAGTCAGAGTTCATCAAGTAACCAGAGTAACACTGAGGGATTAAATGGGTCACACCCATCAAATACTGGGGGGCAAAGTCATAATGGGAATACACCTGTAGTATCGACAACTGTAAGTATGTCGATACCCGTGAGTAATGAACAAAATTCAGGCACTTTAGCAAATACCCAAGTAGGATCTAGTACGGTGGCACTAAACAGTATGCCAACTATGGGAAACCCTATAACAACAAATGCTGGGTCGTATATGAGTGTAAGACCACCTGGGTTTTCGCTTAACATGAATGGGGTTGGTACTTCTTCGATGCAACGAAATTCGAGATATAACTTAGGAACATTCCAAACCCTAGGTATGCCACAGAATTTTGGAGCATCTCCAAACCTAGGAACATCTCAAAATTTAGTAATTCCCCAGAACTCAGGGAGTGTGCAGAATGTAGGAACGCAGCAAATACCTCCAAATCTAGATCATAGAGGAAACTTAGATCATGGGAGATATGCGTTCGATAGGGATTATCATCGATCTAATTTTGATACTATCGAAAATACTGGTACTGGAATATCTAGTAACTCCTTAGGAATACTTAGACAACAAATGGATGAGACTAATTTTGAGATGGTGAATATGTTATCACAACAGTTGACTACAGTTCTAAATCCATTAGTTCAAAACACTACCGCTAGTTTTGAGATATTAGCAGACCAAATGTCACGAATCGGGGATGCATTGGCTGTACCTCGACAAACGAGGGTAGAAAATCATGCTAATCAGAATACTAATATCAATCCCCCGTATCTATTGAGGAGAAATAGAAACAATGATCAACATCAGCATATGGGAAATGAGTACCAACACGTGAGGAATGACATTTATGGGAATTTGAACGAAGGATTTCAAAATATACACAATCAGAATAACATGTTAGGACAAAGGATGAATTTACAAGGGATGGAATTTAGACCACCCAATCAGACATATTTGTGTCTCCCTTTTCAAATGCGATTCTCGAGACAGAATTGCCTCGAGGATATAAAGTACCCAAATTCACTAAATTTGCTGGAGAAGTTGGTGAATCGACTATCGAGCATGTGGCTCGATATCAGATTGAATGCGGGGATTTAGCGATGAGTGAAGAATTAAAGATGAAATATTTTCCTAGTTCTTTGACTAAGAATGCTTTTACTTGGTTCACTTCGTTACCGTCCAATTCGATATATAATTGGTTGCAGTTAGAGAGAAATTTTCATGAACAATTCTTTAGAGGAGAGACTCAAGTAAGTCTCATCGATTTGATGAACATAAAATGATACAACCATGAAAGTATAGATGATTATCTGAATCGATTTAGACAAATGAAGTCGAGATGTTTTACTCAAATTCCTGAATATGAATTAGTCAGGATGGCTTCTGCAGGTTTAGAAATCTCGATTAGGAAAAAATTAGTCAATCTACCACTGAATGACATGGCTCAATTAGTTGATAAAGTGAGAAGAGTGGAACAAATAGAGTATGAGAAACAAAGGTATAAGAAATATGAGAAACCCTCGAAAAAGGAAAGGATAGCATATATAAATGATGTATATGAGACAGATAACATGACAGAAAATGATATTGAAAAAACTGTCAATGAGAAAGTAAACATAGCAGAACTCAAAGTAGGGGCTCCATATATTTGCAAATTGCTACAAAAGAATGAAGTAAAAGATAAGATGGCAAATCGAACATATACTTTCGATGTGACAAAGGCTGATAAAATTTTCGATATCTTACTAAAAGATAAACAAATTAAGTTGAGCGAAAATCATAAATTGCTTTCGGCAGAACAAAGGAATGGTCGAAAGTATTGTAAATTTCATAATGTTTTTAGACATTGGACTCACAATTGTATACATTTCAGGAATACGATACAAGATGCGATTGACCAAGGGAGACTGAAATTTGAAGAGATGTCGATGAAAGTGGACACGAGTCCATTCGAAGTGCAAGTGGGATATATTGAATCTCAAACGGGCATGACTGATGATGTCCGAGTGACGAATGCTGCTTTTGTAGGCATGGTCGATGTTACTGAAGACATTGACCCTAAACATGTCAGAATGGATGTGTCTGAAGAGGATATGGAATTTGACCTGAGTGAATTTGAAAAGGAGTTCGAAAAAGAGATTTACCCTCGGTCAGGAGACTCCCTCATTGAGTTTTTGAATAGGAAGAAAGAAAAAGACGAAGATGTGTCGTTATGCCCACGATGCAGTGCGGTATTCGATAAATCGGCTGCTAAAGCCTTCAGAACAGAACAGATGAAGAAGGTCGAGAACCAAAATAAAAGGAAAAATGACAAAGTAGATCAAACGGTCCGACCAACAATCGAAGAAAGTCAACATAAATCCGTTGGTTCTGGTGTTAGCGGAAATCAAAGACAATGGGTTAGAAGAGAGATGTATCCTTCTCGAGGAGGAAGAGACAGACTTCAGAGCAATGACGTCTTCGAGAGATTGTCATACGATGAAGGATCGAACACTGGATTCCCAACATTCTAAAGGAGATTCCGAGGCAGGCCCTGGAGAAGAGGAGGAAGGATCCCTTATTGGAATAATTATAGAAACTTTGAAGAAAATATTGTACCGATGGAGAGTCAATATGCAAGAGAATTCTTCGATGATAAGAATGAGGGTACTTGGGATGAGCATCAAATCGGAGTGATATCAATACTACCAGCAGAATATGTTAGGGAATATCAAGAGTCCCAAGAACAGA